AGATCGATTTTGCTGGCTTGCTGAAAGAGTTCGAGTCGAGTTGACGGAGAAGACAAAAATAGCCGAAGTGAAAATGAAGTTTGTTTTAATGTGCATACTCGTTGCGAAACTATTAACAACTTCGTCATATTCTACGACAATACGATGATAGCAAACAGATAAAGCAGTGGCACATCAATGGTAATGCTGAAAATGCTGTGACGATTGCATGAATGAATAAATGCAGTAGAACGAAAGCATTATAGCATTTCGATGAATGACCAAGAACTACTGACTGCTGCAAAATTAACGATACTAATCATAATTAATTGAAGAATGCATCATCGTTTGTCGTATATTACACGTCAATTTATCACAAATCACCTGAATATCATCCTTATCTCGCTCATCAACGCTCACCACACTCTTAATGCATAAAACACAATTCGAATTCGAATCGCCGAACTCAGTTGATCGCTTCTCCTACACAATTGTATAATGCATTTTAGTTGGTTTGTATCGTTTGGTTAGCTAGCTAACGTCTCTTTGAATATAATGTTAAAATGTTATTTGAATCGACTGAATGTTAGATAATGTGGAAATATTTAGTAAGTTTTATTGAATACATTCTTTCGTTCAGTTGTTAGTTAGCATTTAGTCGCAGTTTTAGCACTTAGCGTTAAGCAGCTGACTCGAAATTGATTCAGCAAACCACCTCAATATTCATTCATTCAGTTTTAGCCGTGCATCAATATCATCATCATCATCGAATTGCTTTGCTCTCCATTCATTCACCCATTTGTCCACTTCAACGATTCAACTCAGTTCGATGCTTTACGAAATGAATCGACAAAAAAAAAACACGAAAAAGCCATTTATTCTCTTGTTATCTACTTTGCTATTTGTCTGCTTTTTTGCTTATCCATCATCGAGGCATTCATCCTTCAGATGAAACAATCCCAGGCAATATCCCCAAAGCACAGGGAAGAGCGAGCCCACCGAAATTCTGTTTGCTTCAGCCGACCTCTGATCTTTCGCAACATTCAGTTCGACTACAACTGG